GGGGGGGGCATTGGCCAAAAGGGTCAGTCTGGTATATGACCAAAATCAAACAATTTTATGTCGTTCACAAGCCGAACGAAACTTTTTGAAAATACGGAGTCTCTATAACGTCGGAAATGACATTTACAGAGTCTTTACTACTGCGAAAAGGGCACTTTCTTTCCAGCAAAAGAGGGCGTTAGTCAAGAAATACTTTTTTCGTTCTTTAAATGGGTCACTTTAGCCCAGAAAAAAGGGCACTTTTTTCACTTTTCAAAAATGGGGGGGGATGCACATGCCACCATTGCCCCCCCCCCCCGGTTCCGCGGCCCCTGAAAATCTTTTGTTGTGGACAGATTTGTCGCAGGTCTGTTAACAAGTTTTCTGCAGACTTGACAATAACGACTTGCGACAGGTCTGTTGGAACAAGCTTTAACAATATTTGTGTGTGTTGGTGTTATGTACTCGGGTGAATATGATGTTTGTGATGTTACTCTGAGTGCGCATCCACACCGAGCAAGCTGAAAAGTTTGCTTGGCCACGGTGGGAATCGAACCCGCGACCTTTGGGATACTAGCCCAATGCTCTGCCAACTGAGCTACGCGGTCAAGTTGGTTGAGCTACGCGGTCAAGTCGGATGATATTTCGGAGTCTAGTTCCTTCGATATCACTGTAACAACCTGTTGATTTCATCAGACTTGCTGCAAGTTGTTACATCAGATCTGTTATCTCTTGTTAATAACAAGTTTGTAGCGGGTTGTTTCAACAAGTCGCTACGGCTCTGTTGTCAGCAGCTTGCGTCAGACCTGTTCCCGCAAGCCTGTTATCACCTGACGAAAACAACAGACCTGTCACGACTTGTTGACAACTTGCCGCAAGCCGGTAAAATCAACAGCTTGCGACAGGCCTGTGAGATTTCTGGCTGTATAGGACACAATGCTGCACTTGTACGTATATAAGCGAATAAAACGTGTTTGATCTTTTGTGTAATTGCACTGAAAAAGTACTTGTGTATCATGCACAAACTATGTCATCACCTGATTCAGGATATTTTTACCATGTACTGTAGTTCTAAACTTTTTAAAGGCAAACTTTACAGGTACATTAGCATCTCCGCAATGTAGCTAAACACATTGTGATATCAGGAAGCCATTGGGTCTAAAGGTTTTTGTGTGTTCCATTTTATTCATACAAAAACAGTTCCTTTGCAGTGGCTGCCACTACTGCTGGATTTTTGAGGGGATGTGTGGGGAGGTGCGCAGCTCCTTTGAGATCATTTTGCATCTCTCCTGAAAAGTCACGTACCTCGCTTTCAGAAAGGATCAAATGATAGATCAAAGTGAAAATTTAGCTTAAACTTAGCGGTTAATTCAATGTTTGTCACTAAATTTGAATGCGTTCCTATGAGTCTACACTTTGAAACAAAGTTTTTCTGTAAATGGAAAAAGTGACAACTCTTCATTGCTTTATCAAGTATCCTTTCAATGCAATATTTCGAAAGAATTTTTTTGCTAATGTAATGAAGGGCAATATATACGTCGTACAGTAAAAAATCATAAAGGCATTGATACAGTATGTACATTGCATGCATTACGTTGACTTTTGAAGGCTACGTTCTACGCCGCAACATTCCTCCTGAAATAAAAGTGATTCCACAAAAAAGAGCTAAGAAGTAGGCTGTTTTTTTATCACATTTAGCCCATTGGTTTAACAGATTGTGTCCTTTATTGGAGTTTTTAGTGATGCATATATTATTAAATATTGCTTTAAGGTGGCCCCCTAGGGTTTTATTTCCGAGGGTTACGTTCTTCGTATATATGTAAACTAAAACTCGTGTGACTTCAAAATACGAATGAAAGTTGTGTTTTATATGGAACTCTTTTTTGAAACAAAAGTGTGAACTTTGCTTTAGTTGAAAGCATAAAAAGAGTTCTAAAAGCCAAAACGATACTTGGATGTGATGTTTCAAAAGAAGATAAAGTAAACTTGTTTTTTTTCAAGCGGTATTCTGGTAGTTTTTTGAACCGCCGTACGCGTGGTTCGATCGCGAACATTCACAGCAAAAAATCAATTTCTTATTTTAAGAAAAAAAAACTTGTTTTAAGAAAATTTTCTTGAAATAAGAAAATATTTTCTTG